TTCATTTTAACACAAAATGAAGTTCTCCATACTTTTCAGGACTTATGAACTATCACCCAGCAGCTAGCCAACTATAAGCAAACCATTGTTTGTTGAAAAGAGGAGTTAAAATTTTGCAGACAAAATCTCAAACATATAATATGGTTAAAGTTTGTTGCTATATGATTACTATAAAGACCACGTAACATAATAAGTTACTAAATAGGCCCAACCATAAACTGCCAGTGAGCCACAATATCATAACTACAAACTAATCATACCTGCTGTTTTGTGGGCTTCCGGAAATTATACAGAGAACAATAGTTTACAAGACTTTTCAGTTTCTGACTGTAGCGGTCATTACAAATACAGATAATTGGGACTTTGGAGATCTTGATGCTAGCAATTAGGTCCGCAACCCCACCTCGATCACCCGCAGACATGCCATCAACTTCATCCATAATAAGAACCATCTTGGGGTTCTTTAACCTAGAATTTGATTCTCATTAACTAATAGAAGAATATACATCACATTAATGAGTTAAGCTAATGTATAAAACTAACCTATCCAGGTCACCAAGGGACTTATTGCTAATAAGCTCCTTTATAGAATTTGCAGTACTTCCACCAATTCCCTTGCCAATTTGGGAATCTGCCTTTCCACGATTATCACTGGCATTAACCTATAAGCATAAGAAAGACAAAAGAGACAGTTAAAACAATTCCAAAATTTACATATGATAATGATTTAACTGATGATGACGGTATTACCTCTATTATCTCATACTTCAGCATTTTACTAACTAACTTTGCTGAGGTAGTTTTCCCAATGCCAGGAGTTCCACTCATTAAGACAGCCTTTTTCTCAGCAGAATTGCTTTCCCTTTTCCTCTTTCCTTTATTATGCGAAAATTGCTCATCCCAACGTGATAACCAATCATGAAGATCTTTAACCTACAGTAAGCAACGACAGAGACTATTTGTCATTCTGAAATTCTACAGAAGGATGGAGAGGATGGGGAATAATGAACCAGTGCAATCAACAAGGGCATACAAGCTTTTGATTGCCAATTATATCATTCGGAACTTTGGGCTTGTATTTCTCTGTCCATGTCAAGGAAGGACCTTGCTTTGACAAATCCTTTTCCTTAGCAGGTGTTGAAGACTTGGGAGCCTGACTGTTGGCAGAATAGCTTCCCACATCAGCTTCTGCAACAAATAAATCGCAAAAGGTTCACATCAGAGTTGTAAAAAATGATCGACAGACAAATAATGGAGCTAACGTATATAATAGTACACAGGAAGAGACCAATGGTTTGATGCCAAAGTACATGGAAACATATGAATAAGTATACTTTCGCTCCATTATTCCAAATAATTATTGCTTAGAATTGGATAAGATTATGGTAAATCTCCTCGTCACAAACTTCCTGACACAAATTCAATGAAGAACTTTCTTCATCTTAGATAAATCAACATAACCTTCCCATAAAACTATGGAGTCCTTCAACATGCAGTTGTGGTACAGATTGTAAAATTGCATATAAATCAGGTCTTAATGCAATTGCATTTTTCAACAAGCAGCACTTAGCTCACTAATAAAGTAAAATTCCATTAGGAGAACATCGGTTTCAAAACCAGAGGCTCCATGTTACAGGGGTTGATCTTATTTTATTTGTTGATGTGTGTGTGTGTGTGTGTGTGTTGGGGGGGGGTGTGGTGGTGCTAGAAAGAAGTGCCCTGCCCTACCCCATCAGCCCATTACGTGTTTTCTTTAAGATTTATGATTGGATGCAAAAAAAACTAGGAGTGCTAAAATCATTATTGGTAGCCCTGATTATATTCAGCGTCAAATTTCATTTGACATGACAGACTACAAACATACGATATGACATGCCCTTACCCAAAAAAAAAAAAAAAAAATTGAGGCATAATCCAAGATGCAATCAAAAGCACAGCCTACAGGACAAAAAAGTGAAAATCCAAAACAAGTTAAAAGAGTTTTCATGCATACTTTTCACCACATTCTGCTGAATTTTCTTTGCAGAGGATGACGGAGTGCTTTCCAATGGTTTCTTTGAATTGCATTGATCAGGAGTTTTTGTTTTTTTTGACTTTTGGATCATATCAAACAAACCATCCTCTGTAAGAAAGGGTGTTCTGCATACAAAGTAAGACCCTAGTAAGAAGTCATAAAAATTGAAAGGGAAGAATCAGTATATGAGAGGAAGAATCTAACCCCAATTCTTTCGCTTTTTCAGATTTCCGTCCCCCGATATCATCATCGCATAAAAGAAAATTCTGTAAAGTATAAGTTTAGTAAACTGCAAGAATATCTGTTGAGGGCAAAAGATAGTGTAACACAAAATATAAGGGTCATAGATCAAGGAAAAACCGTCTTCTTGCTAACAGATCCGGTAACACGACCTCCATGTCTCTTGATTAAATCTTCTGCTTCTTCCCTTTCCAAACTACAAGGCAAATATAGAGGTTAGGAGATGTCACTAATACACAATTCTCACAAAATAAACAAATTTGCGACAAGACCAATAAGCATCCTTCAAGCAAAAATCTTAAAAGATAAAAGATAAGAATCAACCTGTTAACTGTCCCAAAAATAATAAAAGAAAAAATCAAAAGACAGAAGGATATATCAAATGGACTATATCTTAAACTCTATACCTGTCAAGTGTCCCAGAAATTACAAAAGTCAACCCAGCTAAACAATCAGGAGAACCTTCAGGAACTTCCTGGCCGAAGAAAAGGACAAAAAGCAATAAGAGAAGATGAAGAAGAGCACACTTCAAAGTACTGGATACCACCACAGTCAGTCAGTCACTATATAGGACAGTTATAATGAGAAATCACATGATTGGCATTTTAATACCTTTTCTCCTTTGTGAGGTGGATCTTTCCTCTCACCAAAGTTCATAAATCCGCCTCGTCCACGTCCCCTTCCTCCTCCACCAGCAGCAGTGGCAGGTGCAGCTCCCCTGCCACGACCCCTTCCAACAGATTTGACAGGCGTTGGAGTCTCCTTTTTCTCGTCCATTTCCTCATCACTTTCATCAACAACCACGTTTTTCTTTGCAATACCCCTTCCTGAACTTCCCTTTAGCTTTTTGCTAGGAGTAGCCTCAACTGACTTTTTTTTGGAACTAATTGGAGCAAAGTCATCATCATCATCATCAACATTTTCCTCCTCTAATTTGTGAACCTTCTTCGCAGGTGAAGGTTTGGCAGGCACCTCCATTTTTTGGGTCCCAACTTTCGATTTCTCTTGATCTTTATCAAAGTATTTGCTTGTTTTCCTTCGGGCAGCACTTTCTTGAGCTAACTAACTCACAATAACCACGAGCATATAAATTTACTACACAACTTTTTTTCACCAAAATCAATCATGAGCAAAATACGGATCTCAAAAATCATTCTCACCAACCAAATATAGAAACAGCAGTATAAAATTCCACACATTAAGCTCATTGAAATAAACAACTAACTAAACCTAAGTTCAACAATTTGATAAATTGGCACACTATCATATATAACTGTTAATTAACAAGTATCAATTGACTAACCGCTTTCTGGGTTTCAGAAGTAGTGGCTGAAGGTTTTTCAGATGCCGGTTTCGCAGCGGCCGGTTTCGCGGCATTGGAATTTTCCTTGTCATGTTTCTTCACGAACCACTTTCTAATATCTGACTGCTTGCAAAAAAATTAATTCAACATTAAAGTAACACTTTTTTTTTGGCAAACACATTATTGAAATACATATATACACGATTAAAAAAACATAAAATTGAAACAACATGAACAACACTCACCATGTCTGAAATGCAAGAATTACAAATGAAATTCTATCAAATTGTCCAGCCCAATTAAATCTGCGCAAAAACAAACAAAACCCCAATACCCTTAATCAGCATTACAAATTCTGTAAAATGCACAATATTCAAATGGGTAAAATTCGAAGGACTTTAGGGTTTAAAGAATCAAGAATTAAGAATTTCAGAAGCTTAAAGTATTGGCTTTTATTCAACCCTGTTAAGAGAAACAACGAAATTTAAAGAAATCGTGAAGAAAACATGCGGAATTTAAATGGGTTCACGAACATAATCAAAGATTAACATCAAAAACCCTAATTTATTGCAAGGGGTTGTGTAGGAGAGAGAAACCTGGTGGGAAGCGTTTCCCGCTTCTCTAGTATTTCCTATGAGCATTTCTCAGTACACTTGTAAGTTATAACCCGACAAAATTTAAAAACGAAGAGAATAACCCAAATTAACGTCGTCTATTGACGGAGAAAGCGTCTAACTATATGAAAAAGGGTTTTTCTATATAATAGCCCTTTTAATTTCACTTTTCGTGCTCCAACATATATCACTTTCTACACTATAACCCCAAATAAATTTTGTTTCCATACGGTAACCTTGCCGTTAATAAATTCCGTTAGTGGGGTCCACTCTCCATTTATTAATATTTTTTTATCGATTTACGCATTGGAAAATGTTCCATTAAAAATTTTGGGGGCTATATTGATTCTTAAGGACCAAATTGAGCTCAAATTTGGGAAAAAAATAACTTAAATGCCTCGTTTTTCTTATTAAGAAATGTCTTGATTTACGTGTTCACGTTTTACTACGCAAAACGAGGCATTTACGTTATTTTTTTCGTCAAATCTGAGCTCAATTTTGACCCTTTAAAGTTCCAAAATAGCCCCCAAAACCTTTAACCGAACATTTTCCAACGCGCAAATCGATGAAAAATATTAACTAATGGAGAGTGGGCCCCACTAACGGAATTTATTAACGCCGGAATAACGGCAAGGTTACCGTATGAAAACAAAATGTATTTGGGGTTACAGTGTGGAAAGTATATATGTTGACCATAATGTAGGGCTGAGCAAAACTTTCTGATAACCCGAAAATCCGAAATTCCGATCCGCATCCGATCCGAAAATTTAGGATAACTGATCCTGTTTTCGGATCAGATATCCTATCGGATTGGATATCGGATATAGAAAATTTTGATTTCGGATATCTGAATATCCAAAAAAAAAGTCGGATATCGGATCGAGCACCCGATCCGAAATAAAAAAAAAACACTTTTTTTACCATTTTAAAATATTTTCATATTATTAGATGCCCTAAAGACAAAAACTCGGACAACCCTAATTTTCCCTCATAATCTCATATCCGCCTCTTTCTCCCTCTTCTCACTTCTCAGATCACCCTGTAACTCTCTTAGATCGCTCCACCGTCGTCCGTCGTTGAAACTCACAGCCTCACTCCTCCACCAGTCGCAACTTCCCTCACTCCTTCACCTGCGGGCTGCGGTGGCAACCTGAGTTCCCTTGCTCCTCCACCAGCGACGGCTTGCGCTGCTTCCCTTGCTCTGCTATGCTTTCCTCTTTGTTATTACCACTAATTTGAATCAGTTAATCGGGTTTTTAGGTTTGACTTTGGAAACCAATTTCTGCATTTTTATAGTTGTTCTTGTTTTAATTTTTCTTACAAATAATGGGTTTAGGTTAATAAGTTGTGCTTTTTGAACTGTTAATTTAATTAAGTGTTGTTCTACTTTTGCTATATTGGGAAAAGCTTATGTTCTGCTTGTGCTCCATTTTAAATTTCGATTGTTCTGGTTCTGGCCCTTATGAAGTCATGATTCTGCTTCATTTGAAAATTTTGTTGTTGTTGATTAAAATTTGGAGGAATTTTAAATTATGAAATTTCTGTTGTTCTGCTTGTGTTCCATGTTGGGAGAAATTTCTGTTATGTTTCTGCTCTTGTCCTCCTGCTTATGTTGATTTAATCTGTTATGTTGGGAGAAATATACAATCAGTTTTATTTTGTCAACAAATTTACATTCTGAAATATGTGTTTTAGATGGATGATGCTACTGTAGAATCTGCTAACCTAGCAAATCCATCAAGTGAGGAGGAGCCCTTGCCATCAACCGCTGTTGCTGCTGCTGAGGAGCATGCTGGAATTGAAAAACCACCACAACCACCCATTACAAAAAAAAAGGCCTTCAATCGCGACTAGTGATGGAGCTGAAAAAAAAGGTAAGAAGAAAAGATCTTGGCTTTGGGATCATTATGAGTATTGTGAAGTTGATGTTTGTGGTGACTCTAAAAAGGGTACAAGTGCTATGAAAAATTATATAGCTTAGAAAGGTGTAAGGAATACCCCCCTAATGTTGACAAATCCCAAAGGCTTCTTGCTTTTCAAATTGAGCAAAGTCAGCAAACATTAGGAGATGCTAGTGTAGGTGATAATGCAAGTGGGGAAAAAAAGGGTAAATTAGAATTTTGGAAGTTTAGGCAGGAGGAGGGTCGGAAAGCTTTTGCTAAAATGATAATAATGGATGAATTGCCCTTTAGGTTTGCTTATCGTGAGGGTTTTCGCTACTTTATGTCTGTTGTTCAGCCTAATTTCATTATCCCCTCACGTTTTACAGTAGCTAGAGATTGCTATCGTGTGTTTTTAGATGAAAAAAAAATCAGAAAAGTTATTTTAGCAAGTGTTCTTCTCGTATTTCTCTCACTACTGACACATGGCCCTCTTGCCAAAATTTGTCATACATGTGTTTAATAGCCCATTTTATTGATCACAACTGAAACTTGCACAAAAAAAAAAACTAATTTTTTGTCCAATTAGTAGCCATTTAGGTGAGGCTATTGGTAAAGCGGTAGAAAAAAGTTTGCTTGAGTGGGGTATCACTAAGGTAATGGCCATTACCGTGGACAATGCAAGCTCAAATGATGTAGGTTTCCAATATTTGAGGAAGAGGTTACTAAGATGGAAAGATGGGACTGTTTTAGAGGGTAAATTTGTGCATATGCGGTGTGCAACTCACATTCTTAATCTGACAGTAAGAGAAGGTTTGAAAGAATGTGATGATTCAATAAAAAGAATACGTAATGTTGTTCGATTTGTTAGATCTTCCCCTGCCAGATTGCAAAAATTCAGAAATTGTGTAAATCAAGAACAAATTGAATCTAAACGTCAGCTTTACTTGGATGTTGAAACTAGGTGGAACTCCACTTATTTGATGTTGGAGTATGCTTTGATTTTTCGTAAGGCTTTTGATTTGCTTGAAAATTCTAATGGTGGTAAATTTTTTTCTAAGTTAACAAAGATGTCGGGTGTTCCTACTGATATGGATTGGGATCGTGTTGCTTCTTTTATTCCCTTTCTTAACATTTTTTATGATGCTACTTTGAGACTCTCAGGATCTTTGTATGCTACTACTAATGTGCATTTGTTAGAACTTGTGACAATTGGCAAGATGATTAAAAAAAAGTGTGAAAGTGTTGACATTAAGGAAAGGTCAATGGCCAATGGGATGAAGAAAAAGCATGACAAGTATTGGGAAAATGTGGATAACATTAACTTGATGTTGTATGTTGCTGTATGTTGTGCTTGACCCTAGACGTAAAATGCATTATGTTAAGTGGGCTATTAATGATCAATATGATTCTGACAAGGCCACACAGTTGTATGATATGGTGATGGGAACTTTGACTTCTTTGTATGAACATTATGTTGCTTTACAATCTCAAAATGTGTCAAGTGTTCCTAAAAATATTGATTTGACTTCAAAAGACTTTGAAAACTATAATGATTAGCATGATGTTGCTAATTTGAGTTTGAGAGGGATATTGGTGGACAAACAGTTTTTGACAAAAAAAAAAGGTGATTTGGACAAGTATTTGATGGATGATAGAGAGCCTAATATTATGGGTAAGAGTTTTGATGCTTTGGGATGGTGGAAAAAAGCGGTGGAGAGATATCCTATAGTTGGTCTTATGGCTAGGGATGTATTAGCCATTCCGGTCTCCACAGTTGCATCCGAATCTGCATTTAGCACATCCGAATCTGCATTTAGCACATCCGAATCTGCATTTAGCACAGGTGGAAGAGTACTTGATCCATTTCGTAGTCCACTTTCTTCACATATGGTTGAAGCTTTGATATGTGCACAAGATTGGATGCGCACTACACGTGATCCACTTATGATTGAAGAAAGTATCGATGACATTCAACAAATTGAAGAGGGTAATACTTTTTCCGTTTTTTTTTTTTTTGATGAATATTTTTAATGTTTCTGCTGATTATGTCTTTCTTTTATTAATTTAAGTGTGAACCTTATTCCTTCAGTTTAGTTGTCTAATCGACATTCTTCCTAAGTTGATCTGCACCTTTTTTTTTTTAATTATTTTTTTTTTATCTGGTATAAACTTTAGAAATTATTTTCTAAGATATGACTTGTGGGATTGAATTATTGTTTTGTTCTAATCTTATGGGATTGAATTATTGTTCTGATATTGTTGGTTTGATTGTTCTGATTAATGGGTTGTATGTTCTGGCCAAGTGTTTCTTTTGCAACTGCCGGTTTTTTGTTGTTCTGAGCTTAAATTGATTTGGTTCTTTTTCTGTTCTTAAGTTTACTATATGCTCTGTTGATGTATGATGAATTTCTTCTTTAGTGTATCTTTATAACTTGATTTACAGTGCATACAAAATTTAGTTTTGTGGTAATTAATTTGAGCTCTTAAGTGTGATTAAGTAGTATGACTTAGATTGGCATGTGATATTTGTTTTACTAATGTATTTTCATTGTATTATTTGTAGAATTGTCATCTCTTGTTTATCCGCCTTCGGTTTCCGTCGTTGATGATTATTTTTAGCATTAGAAGGTAATACTTTTTTTAGTTTGAATATTTTAGAAGTTATAGTTTAATTTCTGCATTTTTTTTTTTTGTTTTCTTATGATTATCTAATATATTGTTATTTTATATTTTGTAGGGTTGTTGACTTGCCATACACTCGTACTTTGTTGATCCGTTATTGGTTTCCGGCGTTGATGACTTATTTAGTGTTAGATAAAATGTTTATGCATTGTTAACATTTGGACATTAATGTTTTTGGACTTCAAATTTTTCTTATGTAATTTGTACTTTTGTTGCAATTAGCCAATTAGTTTGCATTTTGAATGTTGTGTATAATTTTATTATGTAAGTTCTGAAAATTAGTTGTTGGACAATACTTTCAAATCTATTTTATCTCTCTTTGTTCAGGTTATGAACTAATTGTCTACATAGTAAAAAAGGGTCCACAAGACATTAACGTGTGGAAAAAAAGGGTGAAAAAATCAATTTTTCCATTAATAAAACCCCGCAATTTTCGGAAATTTCGCAATATCCGACTTATCCGATCCGAAAAATTCGGATAGCTAGATTTTCGGATATCCGACATTTTCAGATCGGATACGGGTATCAAATATCCAGATTTTCGAATACGAATATCCGATCCGAAATACAGTTTCGGATCGAATATCCGATCCGTGCTCAAGCCTAGCATAACGTAGAAAAGTAAAATTAAGAGGGTTACTATATAGAAATGAACTGAATATCTGACGTGGCAACGTTGAATGTCCAAATATTTACAGAAAAGCCACAGAGATTAACGTGGGCCACCCCATTAAAAACTTCTCAAACACGATATTATTAAGTTGCAATTTTGTAAATAAATTAATAAGTTAAATCTATCGTTGTTGATTTTATAACAAAAACAGTGTAATGACTTTTTTTTTTACTTAAAGAATTGTCCTTTGATAAAAAAAAAATATAAAAAATAAAAAAACAATTTATGTTCATCAACTGCAGAGTACAAACGATGAACAACCAACTAATAAAGATTTTAATACTGTAATTAGTAATGCACTTGGTAACGATTAATCATTTTATTACCAAAGATTGATATTGGAATATTGGTGCTCTTTGTTTAGTAGTATCTCCTCAAATAGTTCGGAACATTAAAAGCATCCTTTGTCGGAAAATGTTCAATTAGATGAACCAAGTCATGGGGTTTCTAGTAGCAGAGGGTTAACTGTTAAGCTGGCAATTTGGTTAGCTCGTATATGTAATATAATTGTATTCTCTTTCTAAATGAGAATTTTCATGGTTTTGGAACTACGTACTGCCACAAAACTAAAGATCATTATTTGTCAATTGTTACATAACGACTTTCCAACTAAAATTATTCAATTTCGAATATATGATCCGAACATTTGAATCGAAAATAATGTGATCCGTTATCGTTTTATCCGATATTTTGTTAAAATTTCAACCGGATTGGATACCCAAAATTTTGGATCGGAGTTTTCAAATCAGGTAAAAAAACAAATTGGATGGATAAATTTAAACAACCCTACTTCTATAAGGACTATGTTTTTAATTGGATTAATTAAAATTGGCCGGAAATATCACTTCATCATAGTCGATTTAAAATTTTTACTTCTTCCGTTCCAGAAAAACTGACACACTTGACTTTTTCCTTTTCTGAACTTTCACTATTTTTTATTGTTATTATATAAATAAAATATAGAGTATAAGAATATGAGAGTTTGGATTGAAGAAATTCCTCATAGTGCAAATGAGGCTGTAATGCTAGACTTTGTTGGGCTTGATTAAATAAAATTTATGTGCTTGTTTCTTGTATTTAAAAAAAAAAAAAAGTTTTCTCATTCATAAACATAATTTATATATATATATATATATATATATATATATATATATATATATATATATATATATATATATATATATATATATATATATATATATATATATATATATATATATATATTTACAGTGAGTACAAAGAAAATAAACAAACAACTTCAAAAGACCAACAAAGAAACTCCCGAGCACGAGCCTTCCCAGCCAACCAATGCGTTGGGGCCCACGACTTAGGAACCTTTAGATCCTGTAAGCTTCAAACAAGGAAAGAAGAGCCTGAATATCTTGAATTAACCAACATAAAGAAACATCACTCCGTTGACGGCGGCCTAGAATCAAGCACAGAGTCTCATAGTCCAAGTAAATAAGGATCCTACGATAACCCCTGCTATAGGCACTATGCAAACCCCAAAAGTAGGCTTGGAGTTCTGAATGTAAAGCGGATGACGAGAGAGAAGCGCGAGCACCCCCATTAAGCACCAAAGGGGAAACACAATCACGAAAAATCCAACCAGCACCCGTGGAGTTGTCGGAAGACCAAGAACCATCACAGAGCAAACAAATATCCAAACCCGAAAGAGGATCCCCATAGCAGCAAGTAGAAAAGGCCGTGACAGACGGCCTAGGACGAAGAGGCAAACTAGAGGACTTAAGGCAAAAATTCTGAGCTTGCTGACCCCGAGCACACCACTGGGACGCAAGACTCAACACCTCAGTAGGAGAAACATCTAGTTGTCGAAATCGGACATTATTACGAGAAAGCCAAATCGACCACAAAATAGAGAAGAAGTTGATAAGGCCTACCCAGTCCTTAGTAGCACCAAACAGAGAAACCATAGTAGAAAACCAATGAAGGAACGGAAGGCGATGCAGACTGGGCCTATGAAAACCTAAAGAACTACCACCCCAAAGAAGGCTAACGAAATCACAGTCCCGAAATAAATGAGCAACCGTCTCCGGCTCATGGCGACAAAAACAACATACAGGATCAACTGAAAGCCCTCTAACAGACAGAGCCGAAGCAACTGGAAGAGTGGAATGAACAACTTTCCAGGCAAAGATCTTCCATTTAGGGAGAATAGGAAGTCCCTAGAATTTCCGCCACCAAGAAGGGGAAGTGGGCCCCATAGGAGTAGCCAAAGAGTCCTATTGAAGAAAAAGGAAAAAAGCTGACTTCGTGGAAAAGGACCCATCCTTGGTGAATTTCCAGTAAACAAAGTCGTCCATTAGATTCTACGGACGATCCAGACTAAGAATCCGACTGACAATCAAACCATCAAAAAGCCGATGGACCCTCGAGGAGTCCCACACGTTTGAACGCGGATCAATAATAGAAGACACATGAGTCGGGAGCTCCGACTCAGATAAACCATCCTTAAAAGAAACTAAAACCCCTGGAGCCCATTCATCAGTTGTAATACGAACACTCGAACCACAACCCGTCTTCCAACGGACTCCTTTAGCCACAACCGACATGGCTAACTGCAAACCACGACATCCCCATGAAGGTCGGGTTATCCGAGTCGCAGGCAAAGCAAAATGAAAGGGGTACTTAGAAACCATGAGCCTATAAACAAGCAACTGAGGATTAAGCATCATCCTCCAACCAGTACCGGCTAGGAGAGCCGAATTAAAACATCCAATACTACGTAGACCAAGTCCACCTAGCCTCTTTGGTAAGTGAAGGAGAGAAGCCGATCGCAGAGCCATTCCTTTCCTGAAACCCGAAGATCTCCACCAAAAACTAGCAAGCATACTATCAAGATAAGAAGAAATAAATGAAGGAATCTTTAAAACAGACAAGATATGATTAAAAGAAACCACCAACACAGAGTTAATAATAACCAGTTTTGCCGCTGCAGACAACCGTAGAGAGGCAAACGCAAACAATCGGCTTGCAACTTTGTCAATCAGAATCTTGAAATCCGAAACTTTACTCTGTCCTAGATCATTTGGAAGACCCAAATAGGTTCCAATAGAGGGCTTCGATTGAAGACGAAGACTCAAAGCCAAATAATCCCGATAGTCAGGGGGAGTATTCAGACTAAACTTGACAAAGGATTTTTGAAGATTAATCATTTGGCCGAAAGAAGCACAAAATTCAGAAAGGAGGTTCATAATATTTTCACACGCCTACGGAGAAACCTGGAAAAACAGCAGCGAGTCATCCATAAAGAAAAGAAGAGAAACTGAAGGACCCCCTCTAGAAATGTGAATGTCTGAAAACAAAGCCTGTTCTTCCGCCCTGCGAAGTGAAGCCGAGAGAACAAAAAAATACGGCGATAAAGGATCCCCTTGCCGCAAACCGCACTTTGGTTGGAAAGATAGAGTAACACTCTCATTCACAAGAACCTAATAAGACACTGTGGTAACGCACTGCTCAATGATATGAACCCAGTAGAGAGGAAAACCAAAAGCTTGTAACACCTGACTCAAAAAGTCCCTGAGGACCCTATCATAAGCTTTATTCATATCCAACTTAAGGGTCGCATAAAACTGCTTCCAAGCCTTTGATGCATTCATAAAAGACAAAAGTTCATGAGCAATCAAGGCATTATCTGGGATGAGACGACCTGTCACAAATGCATTCTGAAAATCGGAAATAAGAGAAGGGAAAACTCCCCGAAGACGGTTAGCAATACATTTGGCGATGCACTTATACAACACATTACATAACCCAAACGGTCGAAACTGAGAGACTAACTCCGGTTGAGAAACCTTGGGGAGAAGAACCAAGAAAGTGCGATTCCATTCCTTTAACATCTACCCATGGACAAAGTAATACTAAACCGCAGAGGTAACAAAACCGCCTGTATCTTCCCAATGAGTCTTAAAAAAAGCCGAGGTAAAACCATCCGAGCCTGGGGATTTATCATCGGCAATATGAAACATAGCAGATCTAATTTCCGAAGACGAAAAAGGAGCCATTAAATCAGTCTGTTGAGAAGCAGACAACGTAGGCAAGCACAAATTATCCCAAATTTATTCCCTTGTTCCCAATTATATCATATCATATCACTAATAAATAAAATCAGTCTCGCAGCCAGGCTACGAGACAGCGACACTTGACATTTCAATTTTTTGCCAAGTGTCGCGTCACGTAGGCGACAAATAGGTATTATTGTGACACATATGATGCTAAGTAAGCGATTTTTGGATAGATTTTTTAAGATAAAATGTTGTATAAAGTTTCAGTGGTGGAGGGAGAGGGGTACAAGGGGGACAGCCGTCCCCCCACTTCTAAAAAAAAATCAGAATTTTTTTTTATTATGATAAAAATTAAAGAGAAACTCATATAAGGAGGAGGAGACATGGAGGTGAAATTACTGAAAGAACATGGAATCCTTTGGAGGGAGAAGAGGAGATATGGCGCCTGCTATGAAAATGGAAACCAGTGGAATTCCTTCGAGAAAGATGAGATAGAAAAATAGAAATGTTGTATTTATTTTGCCTAATATTTGGATCTTTTAGATTTTTATTTATTTTATATATTTTTACTAGGTTAAGTCCCGTGTCATGCACGATCATAATTAAATTTAATTTTACACCAAAAAATTATAAATAATGGTGTTAATTCAACAATAACTTATCCAAAAAAATTAATTGTAACAAAATAACTTGAATTTTAGTTTATATCAATACCAAATATGTAAAGGTTATTGAATTGGATTATATATATATATATATATATATATATATATATATATATATATATATATATATATATATATAATGGTGTTAATTCAACAATAACTTATCCAAAAAAATTAATTGTAACAAAATAACTTGAATTTTAGTTTATACTAATACCAAATATGTAAAGGTTATTGAATTGGATATGTATAATATATATATATATATATATATATATATATATATATATATAGTAATAGAAATTTATAAGCTATAAGGTAGTTTTATATAAGAAAATTAAAATATTAGCTTAGGTTAGTACCCATATATGAACTCATATGCATTTATCCTTAAATTGTTGACACACTATGACCGGCATAATATGAAAATTTAATTGATTTTATTTTACTTTAGGATAATTAGTATTCCATAATCAACTTTTTTAAATATATTTTTAGTGAGTAGTAGAGGTTTTTATTTTTTAAATAATCACATAAATATTTAGAGTAATTAGAATTAATTTTCCAATATATATTATGTATACTATAATAAAATGATTTTGTTCTTATAAACGTTATGTAATTTAAGATTTATACAAAATATGCTACCAAAATGATTTTTTTTTTAATTAAAAAAATTATATTGTCAAATGATAAAAGTTGGAGAAAAAAAATTGATATTGATAATATTATACTACCTCTATTTCTTATTATGCGCAACAAAGAAAAAATTTATGTCTCACAAATAATACCCGTTTGTTGCACATAATAAAGAACGGAGGTAGTAATAATCTTGGAATATAATATATTACAATACCTTTAATTAATCTATGTTATCTATGTTAGTATTTTTGTAACTAAAAGTTTCTTAGTATATAAGATATATGTACAAAAAAATTGAGTATAATTAGATTAAATATGTTGTCAAAATGAAAATAACTTTTATTGTAGGTTATAAAATGAATGTCATAAAAAATGACAAATAATAAAAAATAAAAAAAAAATATAAAAAAAAAGAAAGAAAGAAAGAAAAAAAAATGCGAGAAAATCTTTAACCAGGAAAACAAGTGACATTTCAGGTTTCGCCTTTAGTATATAGTTATTGATTGGGTTAAAATATCACAATTATTACTTGGTATTTTATGTGTAGTGTGATTATGTGAGTAAACAAGTGACTAACTGACTACTGCCTAATGTCCAATAACGTCTAATGTGTACTCTGTATGTGTTTGGATCTACAAATGACATGCATGGACTAATTCTCAATTTGATGATACCCATGGTAATTTTACTTTTAATTTATTTGTTTAATGATAAATTAAATGAGAGTATAATACGAGTATTAAATAATAGTGATTTTATAACTCATCAATAACAAGTTTCTCACCACATGATTAATTGAGTTTTTATTTTGTTGAAATATTTAATTAAATATTGTTAATTTTTTAGGGTTGTTAATTTTTTTTGTAATGTTTAATTTTCATATTTACACATTATTGAAACTCTGTAATTTTAAACATACAATGTGGTAATTGATTCATATTTTTCAATTTAATTATGAAATGTAAGATAATTCACCTAATTTAAATAAGTCTAAGTAATCAGAAAATAACCCAGTCTATGACAATTCATGTTTAAAGAATGAAACCCCAAACTTTATGCAAATATTTTTCATCTTTCTTGGATCGTATGTTTAAGCATTTTGGATCTTTGGGATGTTAAATTTAAAGTAATACGGAGTAAACATTTTATACATATATATATACACTCCCTCTGTCCCTTACTGATAGTCTCTTATGGACAATTTTCACGGGAATTAATAAATATAAATAAGAAGTATTATATGTACACTGTAAAGGTAAATTTACATTGGGTATGCAAAAAAGTAGAGAGAAAGTAATAAAAGTACATGGAAAAGTTAAATTTGCACAAATATTGTTGCAAAATGGAGGGAATTTTGGTAAAAAAATTAATATTTATGATTGTTGAAACAAGCAAATAGGGTAAACATTTTAGGACCAAAATTTGGCCAAAAGGGACTATCAATAAGGGACGGAGGGAGTATATATTTCGTCAAATTATGAGACGTTTGTACTCTGTCCCCCTGGGTTGTAAATCCTTGCTCCACCACTGTAAAAGTTTATTATCACTATATACTTCTAATATTTCATATATACAAAATTAATCATAACTTTTAATAAATATCATATAACTCGGTTTTATTTTCATCATAAAATTCATTTCAAAAAGTTCTTTAAAATAAGATCCATTTATAATATAATTAATTTAGTTACTTAAACAAATAATAGAGAATCAGTAAGAATAGAATAGTAATCAAAAAAACTATGGGATATTAGGATTTAAATTATTAAAAAAAAATAAAAATTATCTTATGAAATTAATGGTTTTATCTAAATACCCGATTAATAAGATGTTTTTTTCATAAAAAAAATTTAAAACTTATAACGCAATAAAAAACTTTATCTTCTTTAAACATTTTGTGTCTAAAAAATTGAAAAGACAAATAATTTGTTAGAGATCAAGAGATCACAAGAAATATACAAAATGATATATAGATTTGAGAGTTTAGTTTCAAGTGTAAAAAACAACGAATAATGATTTAGGATTTAAATAATTTTAAAAATAAAAAATTATTATCTTTTCACATTAAAGATTTTATCCTAATATGTAAACAATGAAATATCATATTTACAATTATTATTATTATTTTTTGAAAGATATCATATTATTGTCATATAACTAACAACAATGAATAAAATACAAAAAAACAATAAATTAAGTCGCATTATAAATTACATTAAAAAAATTATACTTTTGTAATTGGAAATATCATTTTAATTAAATTGTTATTTGTTTTGTTTTGTTTTGTTTTTTTTTTGTCTAAAATTATTAAATTGTAAAATAAATCAAATAATTATAAAAAAAAAACTTAGATATATAGAAAAATATCTTTTCTTTGAGATATAGGTATGAAAAATCGTACATTGCACGGGCTTTCATCTAGTATATATAAATAAAGTAGTCATGTTTGGAGAGCATTCGGAGTGCTACGTAAGTAATATACTTATTTCGACCAATAAGAAGAAAGATTTGTATTTTATTTTTGAATTAAAAATTATGTCGCCACCTAGGTAAAAGTAACGAATTAGATTTGATATATCTAAAATTTTAATGCCACGTAGATTATAATCCACGAAATAAATTATTTTTATGAAAAAAATAAAGTAAAAATATAGGAAAAGATAAAATTATTAATTCAATACTACGAGTATAAGAAATCCAAAAAAAAAAATATACTAAAAAATATTTAAACGACAAACGCTTATAATAAAGTTTGATACCTATCATTATAAGATAAATCTGATAGTATTTATGATAAGAAATACAAATTGTTCGTTAATTATAATTAAATTGAAATTTGTGATACCTACCATTATAAATTGACACATCATACGACACAAACAAAATTTCGTATCAATAAAAAACCCCATCAAGCGAATTTTGTGTTAATTTTTGGTCATCAATGGCCAGGTAATTTTTAGCTTAATTTTTAAAATCCTATGTTAAAAGTAGTATTTCTAATTATTACTTACATTGTATTAATTTGGGATACTCAACGATTATATGTTTATGTTTTATTTACTAAATGTTTTTTTATATGTAGATCTAACACAATATACGACACAAATAAAATTTCGTATCAATACAAAACCTCATCAAGCGAATTTTGTGTTAGTAATTTTGTGTTAGTTTTAGGTCATCAATGTCCGGGTAATTTTTAAAATCTTATGTTTAAATTTATATTTGTAATTATTAGTTACACCGTATTTATTTAGGATACTTAACGATTATTTGTTTATATAATGGCATACGATTAAATGTTGTATACTTAATATATGAATAACTTTGGTTATTATTGGAGATGATGAAAAAATTCCAATGCATAAATTTGATTTTATATCGCAATAATTTTTCATTTATTGGTAAATATATTGATTTATTTTATATAAATGTAAAGATTTAATTTATATCAATTTCAGTTTGGCTAACATTTCACGGTTTAATTTATCCATTGATGTAGTAGGTTGGTTGTGGACGAGGTTGGTGATTCTATCGAAATAAAAGATATAGTAAAACAATGAATAATGATTTAGGATTTAAATTATAAAAAATTTATCATTCACATTAAAGATTTTATATAACGGAAAAAAATATCATATTTACAATTTATTTATATTTAATAAATTCATTATAAATTATAGTAAAAAAAAAAACAATTAAACTTTTGTAATTTTGTCTGAAATTATTAAATACAATAAATCAAATAATTAAAAATCTTAGATGAAAATACCGTGCATCGCACGGGCTTCCATCTAGTAGATAATATAAGATAATTTTAAATAGATTTTTTAAGATAAAAATGTTGTATAGAGTTTTATTATCGATATACTTCTAATATTTCATATATACAAAATTAATCATAACTTTTAAAAAATATCCTATAACTCGATTTTATTTCCATCATAAAATTCGTTTAGAAAAGTTCTCTAAAATAAGATCATTTAGAGCATATTTAATTTAATTTTTTTTTAAAAAAAACAATAGAAAATAGTTAATAAATTTTAATCGGTAAAAATATTCCAGTTCAATAAAAAAACTTCACGTAAATAATAACATAGATTTATCTATTTACTTTACAAAACTACAAAAAGTATACTATTATCTAAATAAGTGATATTTCCTAAAAAAAAGAATAATAATAAAATAAAAATAAAAATAATATGATATCCAAAAAGTTGATCTTAAATTTTATCAACAATCCGGACATCGTGCGGGTATAAAACTAGTAAGAAGAATAAAAAGGATCGGAGAGAGTATAAATGTATAATAATAAACCTCTTATACTTCGGCCATGGGACTGAAAATCGGATTCAATAAAATATACACTCTTATTATAGTTTTGTAATGAAAGTATGAAACCATAACTATCAACTAATAAAAACCTATTAAAAATGAAAATCAAATGTTTACATTCAACTCTCACAAACAAGAATATTGATCACCATGGAGTCACAGTCAACGCCTTCAAAATGATCTTCGAAGTCCTTAGAGCATGCACATCGGTGAGGAGCAACCCTCCTCATAACTCTCTCTCTCCTCTTGTGAGCTAGCTTACCATTGCAATGGGTGACTCATTACATACTCTCACTAAGGGGTAGCAACCTCTGAAGCGTGACTGACATTTGCTGTGAGTTGCTGACTTCTTTAACAAAGGAGTCTGATTTTTTTTGAAGTCCAATTATCACATGACACTTGTCATGAATATGACAAGTTGTATTGCTATTTGCTTGAGATGCTGTAGAATGCAACTGCTCTTTATATCTTTTACACTCAATATTGCAATTATTGCTCTAACGGTAATTTTTCAATTCATTTTAACATATTTCGAAAAATTAATTTCACCAACGGTATACTTATAATTTTATCTATAAATAGAGCCTAATATTGATATAGTTTTTCACCCTTAAAATTTCACCCTTCTATTTTTCATTATAAAAATATTTTGTGATTATGGATCTTAATAATCCTAATTACGGAAGTGGTTCCTCTCAAAATAATCCAAATAACCAATCTTCCAATTCTCCAAATTTCCAAAGTAATTTTCATTTTGATCCAAATAACCCTACTAATCCAAATGCTCAAAGAATGTTATTTTATAACATTCCTAACCAACCAATGCATCCAAACCAACAATTTCTACAACAATTTCCAAATCAATTTCCAAACCAAAATTACACACAACAATTCTCAAACCAATTTTCAAACCAAAATTTGCAACAAATTCCCCAAAATTATCCATCTGGTTTTATGTTCCCGATGTCACAACATTATGGTGTGAACCAAATAATTCAAAATAGTCCAACAACTCCTGAGGGAGAAAGAAGCAGTAACTTAACCCCACCCGATGATCCAAGGGTTCCACAACAAGGTAATGATGATGTTGACGGTGTAGGTGATGATGATGTTATTGAAGCTCCCCACGGGAGCAACACTGTTGTCAGGGCAGAAAAATGGGGTGCAAAAGAAGATGATGCGCTCGTTTCGGCTTGGGTAGAATGTTCAGTTGAAGATCCGGAGAAGGCAACAGATCAAAGTTTGGCCGTAATGTGGAGGAACATACAATCCCTTTATGATCAAGCCAGAGAAGAAAATCCATCCACCATGCGCCCTAGAATTTTAAGATCTATGAAAAGTCGGTGGGCAAGAATAAATAATGATGTGAGTACATGGGTTGGTTGCTATAGTGAAGCAAAAAAAGGTATATGAGTGGTACCAACACTCATGATAAAATGACCGAAGCTCATGAAATATATAGAGGGACGTGTAATGGTTCACGCTTTGGTTTAATTGGTTGTTGGGAGATGTTGAGAGAGTTAGACAAATGGAAGCCAATAGACCTGGATTTACCTTCTAGTGATGGTGGCAATTCGAAAAGATCAGAACCAGATACTCCAACTGATGAAGGTCCAAAAACTCATACTCGTCGCCGTCGTCCTGACGGGGTGAAAGCATCAAAAAGAAAAGGTAAATGTATTGTCAATTCTGGAATTCAAATAGGGGGTAGTTCTGAAATTAAAAATTTAGAGTCGTTTACCGAAGCCCTATTAGAGATGAATGTGATAAAAGGTCAACACAAAGATGTTGATGAAAGGAGAATTGATGTAGCAGAACGTATGCTAGAGTATCAAAAGGAGCGAGATGCCATCAAAGCTCGGAAGAAACAAGAAGAAAAAAGGTTCAAGCTATTTAGTGTCCTTCTTGCAAAACCAATTCTATCTGAAGAAGAAAAGGAAATATATCTAAAATTAAAGCAAGAATTTGCACATCTTCTAGGCTAGTTTAAATATCAATTAAGATAGTCAAACTACATGTGTATTATTCTAGTTTTAATTGATGTAATGTTACTTATGTTGTTTTAACAATTTCCACTACAAGAAACAGGCTGTAAAGCGACGGAATTTCCACTACGAAATATGCGTAATTTAAATGCTCTTTGTTTATTACCCAATAAATTATTTCTTGTAAATAATAATAATATAAAATTAGCTCCATAATGAGAAATGTTGTAAAATATGACCGACATGCAATGCTACATTGAAATGTCACATGTTGACAGAAAATCTGTAAGCAATATCAGAGAATCTCATCTTTTACTGTTATGTGTACCCATACATTGAATTGTCATACAAAAGAAATCTACAAACCTTATCAGAAATGTAATCTTTTTGAGTTGTTTATCCATTCAATGAATTACCAATGTAAAAAATCTGTAAACCTTATCGAAAATCATATCTCTTATACTTGTGTGCCCATATATCATAATAATTACTAGGTATTTGTTTTGAATAATTTTAGAAGTTATAAATAAGGGGGCTATACTTCATATTTCAATACATAAATATAAGTATTATTTCTACATAAAAAAAAACCTCTCTCTTCCTCTCTACCAAAAAATATTACAAAATGAACTCTGATTCAAATTCTTCTAGTTCATCTAGTTCAGGGTTATTTGATTACATGGTGAACGACTATGTAGAGTGGCATGAATCAATTACCCAAAGGCGAAAAGAAGATGAATTGATCGAGGAAGCGATCAATATAGCTGTTGTTCCCTTTGAAACATCACCTTACTAGGTCCCCTTCACTCTTGAACCTACATACCAAAGGTGGTATGTACCAAGAGATCGAGAATATGCTGATATTCAGTTATATAACGATTACTTTAGTCCCCAACCATTGTACCCTGATAATTGTTTCGTCGACGGTTTTGCATGCGTAAGAATGTGTTCACACGCATTGTTAATAAACCAAGAGAAAGTGATGTTTACTTTCAACAAAGGCCGGATGCCACCGGAAGACTAGGTGCATCCCCCCTCCAAAAATGCACTGCAGCAATTCGAATGTTAGCATACGGTACATCTGTCGATGCAGTTGACGAGTATCTTAAAATTGCGTCAAGTACTGCAAGAGAAGGTCTTGCTCACTTTGTTGAAGGGGTCGTAGCTCAATTTGGACCAGAGTACTTGAGGAGAGCGAGTACTATGGATACTGAACGACTCCTCCGTGAAAGTTATGTTCGTGGATTTCCTGGTATGATGGGCAGCATTGATTGCATGCATTGGGGGTGGAAAAATTGTCCGCGTGCATGGAAAGGAATGTATCAAGGTAGAAGTAAAACAGCAACGGTGATTTTGGAGGCTGTTGCTTCGCAAGACTTGTGGATATGGCATGCTTTTTTTGGCACCCCAGGATCTTGTAATGATATAAATGTCCTCCAACGGTCGCCGGTGTTCTCTGATATATGTAAGGGAAAAGCTCCAGAGGTTACCTTCAATGTCAACGGAAATACATACAATATGGGTTATTATCTTACAGACGGTATCTATCCGAAATGGGCAACATTTATCCTAGCAATCAAACATCCACAAACTGGTAAGCACAAATTATTTACCAAGAAGCAAGAGAGTGTTATCGAAAGGACGTTGTTGAACGTGCCTTTGGAGTGTTACAAGCTCGATTTGCAATAATACGTCAACCAAGTCTAGCATAGTCGACCGAAATTTTATGGAAAATCGTAATGGCTTGTATTATCATGCACAATATGATTGTTGAAGATGAGCGAGATGGATATTTGCATCATGATGCAACTGAATTTATCAATGATCAACCGCAAAATGTAGCTGGATCACCAACTGGTAACAACAACCAACCATTTACCGTGAGAAGTGGACGATTGGATAGGCTCAATCTAAATGGTTATATGAAAAATAGAAATAATGTTCGTGATAGGGAGACCCATATTGCACTAAAAAATGACTTGATTGAGCATATATGGGGACGTTTCGGCAACGAATGAAGAGATGACCAAAGTCGTTAATGAACATTGTATTTTAATTTTTAATGGATGTCTTTGCTATATAAGCTATGTTATTTAAATATTATATTATTTTTGTACTTTTCATTTCAAAAATTAGAAAAAAAATTGAAACAACTTACATACATAAGTGATTATTAATATTGTTCTATTTAAAATGCTCTAATTAAAAAGAAAAAAATTAACAATGTTTAACTTTTTTTAATTAATTATGTAAGTTCAAAAATTACAAATAAATAATAAATAGTAATACATGTTTTAAAAAAATAATAAATAAAACAAGAGTGAGAAAGAATATATGATGGGGTAGTATAAAAAAAATTAGGAGAGAGAATGGTGAGTAACCTCACCATTGTAGATAAATAAATAAGGTGACTTATACTAGTAGCTTAAGATAGTGGAAAGTGAGGTGGAAGATGATTTGGAAAAGAGATAAATAAATAAGGTGATTTGCATAGGTGTGAGTAACCTCACCAATGCTCATGCTCTTAGAATCAGAATTTGGACAACGCTTGAAAAGCCAAGTAGTTTGCACAAATTGCTGTAGTGTAAGCCAGAAACTTGGTTCCTTACTGTCGGAATCAGCAAAACAACAGTATACCTGTGAACCAGTTACATATACTGTAAAGTGTGATCTGCAAGCTTGCTCCCGCAGTCTCGCTATCATAGCGATCAATTTTATAGAGCTCTTTAAGTTAATTCTCAACGTGAATTTCTTCTTTCCACACTAACAGAGCAACCATCCTCAGTAAACACTGCTGCCAGACTTTAGGTTGCTACAAGAAATTAGGGAAACATGATATCACAGCTTTTAGAGTTATTTCCATTTAAGTGTAATAGTAAAAGATGCAAGTACATAATTACCAGTTGGCGACCTCCACAACATAAAGAAGTTCTCATGGCAATAGGCAACTGTCCAGACTTTTAGAAGCAACTGACAACGTGGAAGCATACACCTTGTAAACAAATTCCCCCAACACGAGCCTAATGTTTGGAGCTATCTAGCAATCCCATAACCTTCATCAGAAATACATATTCATAAGCCTTTTCCTCAGATTGCCCAAAGCGGCCTCCTTCGCTAAAATGTCCTCCATACATTTCTGTCTTCAAGATAACAGCACGAGAGCAGCTTGTACATGTTTCTTCTCGTACTTTAGCCACCCATTTTGCAGCTTCCCATACTCCAACCCTAAGATTAACACAATCACACGCGAATCAGTACTCCAAAGTCACTGGTCATGTCTTTGTCATGTGCTCATGTTAAAAAATACTAAGCACCCTGTGCTTCTCTTTATTTCCGTTTTATGGGAGATAGATTGATGAACTGGGAGGGAGAAAATCTCGATACAATGGAGACAATAAAGCTTACCTTGAGTCGTTAAACGCTGCAGTGACAAGCATTGAAGGATAGCAAAGTCCCTTATTTATATTGTCATAAGGAGAATATTCCATAATTCTCTCAAATTGGGATTCTATCTTAGGGTTTCCAAATTCATCATAATCCAATATGGTTAGAGGCAAGCTGTCATCCATCAATGTGTTGCATACATCAAGGAAAGGAACCTGATATGCAAAGAATTTGATCAATATTGGATAAACAAATTCTAGATTTATATGCTTGTCAAAAAGCTTTGATTCAATGTAGTATGTCTACATCTAGCAGAATAAATTCAAACAAGCCAAAGATTGCAACAGACTGATCAACACCAATCTAGGGGAAGAAAAATAATGAATGAAATAGATAAAGCATATGAAAGTAATAGGTAAACAAGATAACTAGTATGTTGCCATCAGCCATTAACACAGCAAAAATCACATACTGTTTCTTCCATTGCTGTCTTTAAAAGGAACACAGCTACGAGCTACCTCTATCCTTAGGGGTTACACGATCAGCCTACATAAGCCTACATAATCACTGGAGTTCTGGACCCTTCATAACCCATTGTGATTAACAAAACAAATGAACCCAAAAGATGAATCTTTGATGTATCCAGATGTCTTAGCTCTTTTAGCTCACCCTATATCCTTCTTGCAATTAATTGAACCAAACCAACACGAGGTAAATAAAAAATTCAATGATCCTCCAATTCATAATAGTACCTCTTTTGTTTTAGTCCTAATCAATTATTTTTTGTGAGATCAAAGTAAAAAAGTTTTACTATACATTGTGATTTGTGTGCAAGAAAAGACATCATGTGGGATCTTGTTCGATCCATTTCAATGCGTATTTTCATAATATCAACTATTTATAATCAATCAATCAATTACATAATACTAAAACAGACACCGGGAATGACACATGTCACTTTCTGGTGCTGTTTTTTCCCTCCAAAACCATCTTTTTTTTTCCTTTTTTTTAAAAAAAAAGTCAAATCTTCTTAGAATAATACTTCTATTTAACATATTATTATAATATAACCTTCCTACTTGAGCGCCATAGTTTTATCATGTAATAATAATAAAAAGATTCTCGTCATTTGTATTATTGAAAATATGTCAAAATTATCACCAAAATATAATATTACTCCATATTGCTAATATAATTTTCTAAATTAAATCTTCAAATACTATTAAATTCTATATATAAAAATTGACAATTTTGTCAGCAAAATTTACTATCATCACCTTAAAGAAAGATTATATCAAATATAATAAAATAATAAATATTATGTTTAACAAAGTATATAACATGTTGGATCACATAGTGAAATACATACACTAAAAAGAACGTTGTAAAAAATGCATATGAAAGTTTACAATGTAAATATGTAAGCAATGTTTTATATTTATTTGACCATGTAATGTACTTTTATCATATAAACAATATTGAATCATTCAAAGTTTTAAAATTAAACTATTGCAACAATCAAGATAATTTAATTTATATAACACTTTATTAATAAAATTCAAGGAAATGTATTTAATCTTTCATGGTTTGACATGCAAAATTGAGTATAAATCGACAAAATTTATTATAAACCTTATATTGTTGTATAAGCTTTATAATAATTTTGTTGATTTTGTACTCAAATTTTTATGTATAATTTTACATAAATAATGTTTGATGTATATTTTTGCATAAAAAAGGTTGATAAATATATTACTAATTTTTTTTAATTATATATGATTACGATAACAATTAATTAAGTTTTAGTAATAACCGTGCATGGCACGGGTCTTAAACTAGTTTTAGCTAATATGCAGTTATAGCTATTAACAGTCCAAGATTTACATTGGAGACCACATAAAAGGCAAGTGAGTAGAAACATAGAGGTAGTACAAATCACCCACACTTTTAGAGATAGAACTTTGAAATTTTATCTCTCAAAATACATTGACAATAACTACAAAGACTGTACTTCTTATATTAGATTTGCATAAAAAAAAAATCCATAATCTTATCTTTTAAAATAACTTATCACAAATGTTGAGATAATATAATGGTCAAAGTTCTACCCTGGAAAACATAGCTGCCTTAAATCCATTAAACCCCAGAATTCCCAAGCAGAGGAGCCAGCCTTTTGATCCATGAACTGCAAGACTACAGCGAGAGGGAAATTTTGTGTCGCAACTTCAATACTCCTTAATTAAAATAAAATCATACTACTACTTTCACCATTGTTTTAGCTTTTATTACAAGTTAATTGAAGATGCTCCACTAGTTTGCACTGGCTAAAGCTTAAAGCTAGATGAATCTAGACCTCTCTAAAATTTCGTTTACAACAAGATGCTTGCTGGGCTGTAATTATTAACTTCACAAGGAGCTTCTTCTAAGTAATTCACTTTTTATAAACACATCTGACAAACAGAGGAAACTTAACCTCACTAGGAATGACGAAGAAATGATAATCAGTCAGTTACCTTTAAAATCACAGCACAAAAGAGATCAGGATGAAAATTGATAGCAGCACCCACAAGCAAAGACCCGGCACTAGTTCCAATGGCAGCAAGTCTACCTTTAGTAGCATAGCCCTCATTGACTAAATACTTACCACATGAGACAAGATCGTATATAGAGTTTATCTTATTAACTCCACTTCCATATTGATGCCAGGAAGGATCAGGACCCCCTCCACCCCTGCTCATAAAAAATATCTAGCCTTCAGTTCTAAACCAGTAAAAAGGGAGGGGGCAACACTACCAAATAGAACGTAGAATAATTTCTGCGATAATTTAACTTGACATTTATGCCAAATCTACGAAATAGTGAGACACTAAACAATGTGCATTCCAGAGTAGCCTGATCATATTAGAAAGTCACCCATGACCAACATTCGGAATGTAACACAGTTTTTACACATAAGGATATTCAGGGTTCAATAAGAAGGAAGCCATAGCACAGTGCTCCTTATGCCACAGCATAGAGGGTTGATGGTTATTCTGGGACCCTACTATAATATAAGTACTTATCATTGAAGCTACCAATCAAGACTCATTTAGACTAGAATGACACCATATTCAGATAATAGTATAATAGAACACCTCAAGTACATGAACTAACCTCACATCAGCAAATGCCACTACCCATCCACGGTCAAGTAAGCTGAGGCGATCTGAGGACCAGCTTTTATCTAAGACTTCACCATATGCACCATATGCTTCAAGGATCCCAGGAGACTGTCCCTTGTGATGCGTATTTTTTTAGTATACTAT